GTCACTTGGTTTCTAGAATGCGTAAAAAAAAATAGCTTTAGCAGAAGATAAGCTAATCAATGCGACGGCAGGGTCCCCCCTCCGCGCGGCGGGCGAGTGCTCGCGCCAGCGTGCCTCTGCATGAGCTTGTCAGCGAAGAGCACCGGCTAGCGAAAAGCTGATCTCACCACGGTGCGACGCGCATAAGCTTATCTTCGCGCGCGTCCAAGAGGTTTGCGATCGGCGTATATTTCTAACGTTAAGTGGGCACGCGGCACGGCGGTAAGCTTACTGATGTCACTACCGCGATGTCGCTGCGAGGGAAAGCTTTCGTAGAAATCGGAAAGGTTGGTTAGAATTATGTAATAAATCATTTCTTCTTGTTTCCTTCAAGTAAATAATATTTTTTATTCGATACTTTTCTTAAAAAAGAGGAAAGGAGAAAAGGAAACATATGTAATTTTAAATTTTTTATGTTGCTCATATTTTTGCTAATTCTTATACATAAAATTCAATTATTTTTAGAAACAATATAATATATTTTTATTATAATTAAATATTTACATTTTTAAAACAAACAATAATAAGTAACGGGCAAAGTAAGATTCAACACATTTCTTTGAAATTAATAAAAAATATTATAATTAACAGAGGTAAAATTACATAACGCAAAAATTAGAATCGAAAATACGAAAATGATTACAAGTTACAAGTTTTGGCTACCTGATCGAGCCCTCTTCAGACATTAACATAACGAAAAAATCGCAGAATGAAATCAATTATCGCAAATGATCGCATATATCGAACATTCACAGAGTTCGGGTAATATAATATATTGGTTATTTCATGCTCTGAACTCGTGAACAATGCTGTCAAACGATCATATTTTTTACGATCTCTGTATTAGGCAAATTGGGCAATGGTTCATTGGCCGAATTTACCCCAGAAAGAATTCAAGCAGAACTTCGCGACCGAACGTAAACCTGGATTTCGGACGATATTATTTCTATTGAAAACAATATCTTCGGTTTTTTCGTATATTATTTCCGAAGGTGCTCCTTACTCTTGTCATCCAGGCATTCACTCGGCCATCCGCTAGCTTCCTGCTTTAATTTCAAAAAACTGTTGATATATTCGACAAACAAACCACCCCGCCTCGTATAAGGATCGAAAAGCGTGACTTTAAATTGCCATATTTCGCTCACGCTCGTTACGAGATAATCTTTCTCGAGAGCCTTGCGCAGTAGGATATCCACGCACCTACGAATTCACGATCGATGTGGAGATCATGAGTGCACTCGGCTTGCGAGAACGTTTCGCAGCGATTACGACACAGCCCGAACAACAATTTACCTTGTACGCAGTACGGGAGTGCAGGGTGAAAGAGATCGCGTGGAGGAAGTACTGTGCACCGAATGATACCCTCGACAGAATCAGAATTAAAATTCAGAGCTGCGCCAATCAACTTCGAACACTGTTCTTCGATATAAATCGTAGGTTGGCCTAACGGAAAAGTACCTATTTTCAATACGTACGGATACAGAGAACACTCATCCACGTAGCGTATTTTCTCCGTACTCGTAACTTCGTATCGAGTTACGATATTTTCCGTACGGTCATCAAAGAACGCCTCGCGAAAAGGATTGATCAGCATGGTTTTCGAGAAAAGCGCGCATCTCACAATTCTCGCGTTTTTCTCATGAAAATTCACACTTCTTTTTCTCTATCATCCTATATCCTCGTTGTCGAAGACGTCATGTCATTGCGAGAGTTTGTTCGTATCGAGCGTCGATTGTATCTTCGCGTGACGCCCCGGACGTAAGTTTTCTTTCACGATTGATTTGATAACAGCTGGGACAACCATACCAAAAACAATTTTAAAATTGTAACACGTAATGCGACGTCTCGTTCGACTTCGTAATATCCGCCGACGGGTGTACCGGCAATTCGATACTTGCGGCCTCATCCTGCATGGATTATAAGATGTCTGAGCTCACGCTCCATCCACACTAACCACTGTAAGGCTTTGTGCGAGTGATTATCTTTATATCTATATCCGCCCGGTGGAATGATTCCTATTTTTTCCTCGCGTAAAAAGTTTTTAGGAAAAACTTTTATACGTAAGCTGCTGGAAAAGTTTCTACAAACAATATGAAAAAAACATGTAAAATTCAGTAAATGACTTTATTGTTTTTCGAAGTATTCACTTTTAAGATCGATACATTTTTGCATACGCTCGAATCAAATTTCAAAGCATTTTTTCCACTCTAAGGCTGTAACCTCAGAAATCAGTGTACGAAATGTTTCAACAGCTGCTTCAGGCGACTCAAATCGCTCACCACGCATCTTATTTTTAATGTTTGGGAATAAAAAGAAGTCATTAGAGTGATAAATCGAGTGAATGAGACAATGAGTCATCAATTCGACATTATTACTGGATAAAAAATCACCGATTTGATGTGCTGTGTGACAGCTGGCGTTGTCATGATGAAGGATGATGCGACGATTTCGGTTTGTTCTACGCAATTCATTTATGACTTCTGGCAAACAAATTATTGTATACCAATCAGTATTTACAGTCCTTCGATCCTCTAAAGCCACGGTTGTCACATGTCCGGTATAACCGAAGAAACAAGCAATCATTTGCTTGGCAGCACTGCGTGAACGAACAACTTTTATTGGTTTCGGTTCATTTTGAAATACCCAAACAGTGGATTGTTGTTTACTTTCGGGTTCATACGAATAGATCCATGTTTCGTCCTCAATAATGTTGTTGTAGATCAAATTTGACCGATCTCGGTTGAATTTCTTGAGCATTTCTTTGCTCCATTTAACACGAGCCTGTTTTTGAGCTTCGGTCAAATTTTGTTTGATCCAACGACTGTAAAGTTTCCGTACGCTCAAGTGATCATGCCGAATCGTATGTATTGCTTTCATGTCAATGCCTAAGGATGCCTGAATCTCGCGGTATGTTATATGCCGGTCTCGTTCAATCATTTCACGCACAGCATCAACATTAGTGGCAACAACAGACGTGGATGAACGATCTTCACGGAATTCATCACTAAGAAAGGTACGTCCACGCTGGAATTCGGCAAACCAATTATAAACAGTCCTATTGAATGGTGCTTCATCCCCAAAAGTCAAATGAAGTCGATTAATGCATTGTTTCGGAGTTAGGTTACATTTGTAAAAAATCATTGCCCGAAAATTTTCACGTCAAATTTCCATTTTCTTACAAAATAACTTTTTTTAAAATACTTTGCAAACAAAACTAGTTGGCTTGGGTACAAACTGTCAATTGAATTATAGGTTAAAACCGTCTAATTTTATGGATATGATAGTAGCAGAATGTTTGCACCACTGGAAGTAAATAATACTATAGATTGCATCAGGTATTGGACTAATATAATTTTGATTTTGCAGCGTATCAAATAAATGAGGAAAAAACCTTTACCCAGAGTATCCTGCAGCCCGAAAGTCTTAGGTAATTCCGATAATCGCATAGGCATATGGTAATTTGAGCTATCGATAAATTTTGTACGTCCAATCGTCATAACGATAATTTTCGTCCCGTTCAAAATCATACGATGTTCTTCCGTTATTCCCGACTTTTCAACGATGTACTTTAAAATAAATTGAGCGTCAAATGTTTTAGCGCGATACAGATAATTTTTTTAAAATATTTAGATGTTTGCGTCGAGAAATCGACAAACTCTTTTACGGGGTCTGTACTAAATACGAATTCGCGCACTCTACACCAACGCAATGACATAGCCTCTATTCCCGCGCACGCTTCGCAAATTTGTTGCGCGACGCAGAGAGTGGATTCTTACATTCTCCGTTCCTTCGAGGGTCTCGTCTTGTCGCGTTTCGAAATCATAAAACATGAATGCGACGCGATTTCTTTTAACACGCTCGTCTATGTCTTCGACATCATTCGTATTTGTTTGCGGATTTTCTTCTCGCAATGTCATAGTACTTGTACCTTCTCCAGTCTTTTCTACTGTAGCTTTACGATAAAGAGGCCGCATGTAACACAAATGATTCGAACTGTAACGAACGACACGTTTTGCAATAAATTACGTCGCAATCGTGTCGCGATTTTGAATTAATCAATCGCCCGCAAACCGTTGCAAATTTTAATGGATTTGCAAACGCTTGCGAGGGATTGATTATATGATCCCTGCGCGCTTGATGACGTTCAAAACACGAACGTTCGAAGAAGACGCGAACGTACGAATCACACTTAATCAACTCAACGTCGGGGCATTCGCAAGACAGGGTGGCTCAGCAACGTGGATATTTTTTTGATTCATCGACTTCTGTCGTTACGAAAGCCCACGTTGCAC